AGATTGCACAACAACATTACATCCTGCTATATATTTTTACCAAAAATGCGCAAGTTGGAGTAGGTGTAATTAATTCAAACAAATTTCTCAGAAGTTTCCTTTTAGATCTTGTAAAACCATTCTTTATAAAGATTTTAGTACCAAAAAATAAATAGCCATCAAGCAAGGCACACAAGTTTGTTTCGGTTGAAGTCGAGCAGGTGTTTGAAAATGCAGCCCAGGGCCTAATCACCCCCCACACTTGACAGTATATAGAAAAATCAGCACGCCCTAAATTTTAATAAATCTAGTCAATACAGGAAGATTACATGTTGTTTTTCATCTCAATAAAAAATTCAGCTCCAGTCTCGTATAAAAATGCCAGAATCGGAAGGGAAATTCCGGATTATTTTCGTCAGCCATGATTTACTGTTACGACACCTGCAAGCCCTTACCATGCACATTTAAAATTCCGTATTTTAGTTTCAGTTTTCTACTTGAAAAACGAAATTAATATATAAAAAGAAACGGAATTTTTTAAAGAAAAACGAAATTATTAAAATAAAAAACTTATTAAATAAAGAAAAACGAAATTATTAAATAGAGAGAAACGAAATTAATATATAAAGAAAAACGAAATTAATATATAAAGATAACCGAAATTATTAAAAAAAAAAAACGAACTGATTTATTTAATGATTTCGTTTTTTTTATATTTAATTTTTTTTTTTTTTAATAATTTCTTTCCTTTTATAATAATTTTTTTTTTCTTTATATATTAATTTCTTTTTTGATATATTAATTTCGTTTTTCTTTATTTATTTTTGGTTTGCACTATTGGGCTTCCGTAATTATGCTTTTCTTTTTCCTTTCGTATATTTAATTTTGTGCTGGCAAAAATGATTATTTTTTTTTTTCCACAAACATCTTATTGCAAATATAAATCTAATTCATCTGTAAACACGATATTTCCAATCTAAATGTAATTTATCTTTGGGAACACTATTCAAAGTTCAAATCTTTTCATCTATAGATACACTATTTATTAATTTACAGTAACTCATAAAATACACTTATAGAAACTATTCCGCATCTGACACTATTTCTCCGGGGTTTTTAAAAAACACTATTCAACATTTTTACCTTATGAATCAATACAAATCATCATCATCAACGTTCCCCTTTGTCAAAAGAAATTCATATGGATAAGACACTGTTCTTTAAAAAATAAGTACCTTAAAAAAACTGACAAAACTATTTCATCCTCATTAGAAAAACAAACGTTTTCAAATCTGATTCAAAAGTATTTCCACAGAATGTTGTGACAATTCAAGTGTCTTTCCTAAAACAAAAGAAGTACTGGAGACGAGGAATTGCTTTCCTGTTAAGTTGTTATGATAATATCGATACGTTGGGAATATTTCAAATCCAGAGTGGAACAACATGGATGTAAAGAACTTTTCAATCAAGCACAACAAATATGTAGGCTTAATAATTAAAAGTTGGAATATAAGTATATAATGTGAATGTTGAGGATAATTTTAAACAATTAATGATGAATACCGTATATGAATACCATCTCTCCTTCTTAAGTATTTCAGAAATGATAACTAAAATAATTACAAATATATGACGTATAAGTCCCTGTTGCCAAAGCACATACCAGCAGAATATTCGTATGTAAGACAAATTCTTACAATAATTTGTTTTGAAAAGAATTGGATTTCATTCTACAAGTGATTAATTTAATTACGAAAATAATCTGACAAGAGAAGCATGCATAAAATTTTGAATAAATGAATTGGGATGGGGATAAACGGTCGCAGAAGTTTTTCAATGTAAAAATCGCTTTTTCTAGACAAAAAAGAGCCGCAATTGTTCAATGGACATTATGAATATTTCCGGTAGTTGTCAATCTCATGCATTTACAACATGACTTGTATTCCAAATTTAATGGTCATCTCTGTAGATCCTTGTCTTTTTGCTAATTACATTTTATTTGGTCACATGTATTAATGTTGAAACCTGCATTTCTCTGTACTGAAGATAAACACTTTGATAAGATAAACATACATGGCAAATATCCAATATATTGAGGTTTATGTCTTTTTGTAGATTTAGACATATGTATTCAAGCCACTTTATTAATGTTACTATCCAATTTATATATCCTTCAATCTATTTACTCGATCTTTTCATCCAAAAGCTAAGTATATCTAACCCTACATAGTACCTAAATTTTTTTTATTTTTAATTTCAATTCGTTTGTGTGAATATGTTTTAAAAAAAAATTTGTGGTCAGTTGATGATTTGCATCAATTTAACATGTATATATAGAGCTGTTTGCTTGTATTTGGATAGTACCCAGGAAAGTTACAGTAAAAATAAACATGTTCTGTTATGATTAATGCGGGTTTTTAAAGGAAAATAACATTCAAAGCCATATTGTCAAATTATATAATATGTCAGTATAACTAGAATGTACACAGTATAGCTAAAATGTACACAGTATCTAGAATGTACACAGTATAGCTAAATTGTACACATTGTAGCTAGAATGTACACGTATTAAGTATGGTTGCCCTTTTAACTATTCACTGGTGTCTTTTCCCTGGACATTCGTTCCGTACATATACACATGTCGAGGGCGCTGGATTGTCTATTGATGCTAAAATAGTCTGTCCAATGTGGCAAGAAATAACCGTATATTGTAAAGAAAGTTTAAAGGAGTCCCACTGACACCTTGACTGCAGGGTACACTTTGAATTTATATGTTTGGCTCATCTTTGGAAAATGAACTGACCATTTCTCATTAAAAAAATTTCTGTGCCTAAAAATTTTGAATATTTTTCATTGATACACAACAAGATTATCAATTTTCAAAAATATTAAGAATAAATTTAAATTTTGTGAAAGTGCAAGGATGTGTCAATCAATCCCAGCCAAAAATTTGAAATTTCAATAACCTTTAGATGAAATAAGATTTTAAATAAATTTTCATGTGAAGTGCTATTACAATATATAAGTCGTAATATTATACAGAAAATATTAACTTCAAATTTGTGTCTATGCACCTTTAAAATAACTTACTTATTATTTTTTAATGAAGAAAATAGTTTTAAAAAAATTCGATAATATCAGGACATATCATTTAAAATATACAGCGGATTTGTATAAGACCTGCTATAGACTTGAACTATACACTTATATGCAAAGTGAAAATTCATTTTAATATTCTTAATAACAATTGAAAAGTAAAAATGTGTAGTAACTTACATCAGATTCAACAAATCAATATGAAAACGATTGAACCAAACAGAGTACGTAACCGTTAGCCAATCACGTATCAATAACTGAAATATGTTTTGATATTTATAATTAAGCGTTTGATATAACATATTGCACATTCTTACAGGTACGCAGAAGGAAGCGTTAAATACAAATTACAATATGGGCGCTAAAGGGGCTATCTATTTCATTTTTGTTTTTTGTGGGTCCAGTACCATTATTTGCGGAAATATACCGCAAAATTAGAAATGGATGATAAAAAATCAAATGAAGAACTTGTAGGAGAATACAATTCTAAATCGGATATAGAGTGTGCAGCCCGCTGTCAAAGGGAGTGTAGCATTTTCGGTTTCCACTCTCAAATGAAGAAATGTCGAACGCATAAGAAGAATTTCACGTGGGGAGATTAATGAGGATGGCTGGAGAAAACTCAAACGACTGTATGTACATGTCTAGCTATTATTTCTCCCAAAAATCTTAACATCTTTTTTTCACACAATATTTATGAAGAACTGGTTGATTATTCTTTACTATGTACAATATTTTTTTTTCTTGAGATAATACTTTCTTATTAAGATGTGACATGTGCAAGAATCAAATGTTTTTTCAACTTTTATAATACTAAATAATACTCTCGTCTTCGAACTTCATTTTTCTAAAATACTGATGAATTTGAAATGGATTGAATTATATTTTGTAATTCTTTTTTTTTTTTTCATTTCTACTTCTTTTTAAAAGAAAAATAATTTAGAAAGTTTAAAGCTTAAACTATGACACAATGCAGAAATAAAATTTAATTCAAATTAATAACATTTTATCCTTTGTTTACCATTACAAAATTATTTTTTGTAATTGACTTAAAAATAAACAAGTGTGCTATTTAAATACATCCCTTTTGTGGGATCAGCGCCATAAACACACCTCCCAACCTTATTAATATTCAGGGTCATGAACCCAAGGGAGCATTTATTGCATCAGATATTTTCTTTAAAAAAGGAAAGACAACTCAAAATTTTCTTTAATGGTATAGTCAGTTTCTTTTATCAATTTATATACATTTAAATTGTAATGAATTGGGGGGGGGGGGGAGAAAAAAAATATTGCGAGAAAGTTTTATTTCATTAAGATCACGTCTGGTCAATTTTTATGTTGAATAAGTAAAACATTAACACAGTATATTTTCAATATGAAATACTGCATATGTATATGAATGGCCACTAAATTTCTGTTTAATAAATACAGGTAAATTGAGTTTCAAGTATACCTGATTTCAATAAGCTACATATCTCAGCTTCTAGTACATGTAAATATTTCTGGAAGGTATTATCTAGGTAATCATATTCAGCTATTAATTTTTTTGTGTTAACTGAATTCAACAAAAAAAATTTAAACTAATATGCACACCATTTATATATCATGACTCATATTGAAAAAAAGACAAGGTAAACAAACAGCATGCAATCATGTTTTTATTTAAAGAAATTTACTAAGCACCACATGTAACAGACAATAATGTTCAACAACAAATAAGTTGTATATTACAGGCATATGTTATAATAAAGATTATGCTGTTTAACAATGAAGTAAAAATTCATAAATCAATATTTAGATACCCTTCACAAGATCTAAGAAGAATGTTAAACAACTCAAATAAACAATAAACTACAAGTTTTGAATATGAAAATTTTTTTTTTGAGAAAGGGATCCTCAAATGATGTTTAGATATGGTTCTTTAAGTAGAAAAGTACTGTATCAACCCAGCTAGTCTTCATGAATTCAGCAACCATTTGTTATATGGCCTGAAAAATATAAAATGTTAATGCATTAACATAAAAGTATATGATTATGTTCCCCAAACGGATTTGGGAACATATTGTTTTTACTCTGTTTCTTATTTAGGTCTTCCGTCTTCAGCGGAAGACCTTCTTGTTATTCTTCGGTTTTTTTTTCACTTTTTTTTTTCCCTATTATTATTTTTTTTTTTTCTTACCGATTTTGTGCACGCGTTTTTCCGAAAACGGCTCGATGGATTTCCATGAAACTTTAGGACTCATGTAACATTACTTGAACTTGATTCATTTTTTTCCGTTTTGATACGTCCTTCCGGCCCGGAAATATTGTCGATTTTATGATTTTTGAAGGGTCAGGTTTCCCAACTTTTAAAAAACTGGCGTAAGATAAAAACGTGAAAATTTCAGGTTTGATAGTCCTAAGTCTATAGATTCAAAATGAATTTCATTTTTATGAAAGGCCGCGCTCGGGCTGCTATCCCAAAATTGTCCTATCGCGAATTTCAAATTTTTTACAACCTTTTCTATATCCCTTTTTTCCTTTGAAATATTTTGTTATAACATATAGAACAAAAGAAGTGTAAAATTTCCAAGATCTTTCAAATGATATCTCAAAAAAAGGGCTGGCCCCTAAAATTAAGGGATGGAGGGGCCATGTTTTTCTTTTATATCTAAAAAGTATTGAGAATTTGTAATCATCAAAGAAGCAAAGTTGTTAAAATTTAAGCTTTCTGGCTGTCAAAATACGTCCGACCATGTCACTTCCGGCCAAACCGGAAGTAGTGGGAAAACGCGTATTTTGGTAATTAAAAAATTTTTTGGGTATTTATGTCACTAGGAACAAAAAAATAAATTTTCCGTCCTCGTCGTCACTTCCGGTCAAACCGGAAGTAGCAAAAAATGGCTTATTTTTGCATTAATTAACATAGATTTTGAGGATTAAACCCAAATTTTTGGGGGCTTATTTCTCATATTCGTTAAAAATGAAAACAAAACAAAAGATACTCGTTGCTTTGCAACAGCTTTCTTAGTTATTATTATTATTATTATTTTTTTTCTTATTTGTTCTCCGGTACTTTTTTGTCCGCAGTTTCTCAGAAACTGTTCACCCAACTGAGCTAAAACCTTTTTAGGGTTAATAGGTGTGTAGTGTAGGTGTGCGGAACGAAGGTATTTCCCGCATACCCCTGCACGTGCGTGCGCGTGAAATGAGTGAATTGACTGATATACTTAATATAGCTATAACTTTTATGTTTTTTGAACAAATGTTTTGAAACTCATTATATAAAGATATATTAATAGTGTAAATAATGTGACACTATCAAATTAGCACCAACTCACGCGCATGCACGTGCGCTTCGCTCTGATTGGCTGAAACAAAAATCTCAATATCTTTTCTGTTTTTTGACCAAATGCTTTGAAATTCAAAATATAGTCATACATTAGAATATCCTACAACATGATCTATAAAAGTTTCATGAAATCACGTGCATGCACATGCACTTTTAAACTGATTGGCTGAAACTTTTAAAAGGCTTTATCTCCTTTGTTTTTTGACGAAATGCTTTGAAATTTAAAATATTGTCATACATTAGAAAATCCTGCAATATGATATACAAAAAATTTCAAAAATAGTGCATGCACGTGTGCTGCAATCTGATTGGCTGAAACTTTAAATGGCTATATCTCCTTTGTTTTTTGACAAAATGTTTTGAAATTTCAAACATAGTCTTTCATTAGGATGTCCTACAATACGATGTAGAAAAAATCATGAAATCACGCGCATGTACGTGTGCTGCAATCTGATTGGCTGAAACTTGAAATGGCTATAACTCCTTTATTTTTCAAACAAACAGGATGGGATTTAGAATACAGATAGGTATAATGGACTCCTACAAGAAGGTATGGTCAACATGCACGTGCACGCACGTGCGTGCATTTAGAACGAGTGAAGTTAATAATACACTTGAATGAGTGATTTTTAATACTTTTGGACTGAATGCTTTCATATTATAGTACATCAAAATATATAGATAGTGTAGACAAGATGATATGGTCATAACGCACATGCATTCACATGTGCACGGGTGCAATTCTAAAATTTGTATGTAATTGGTATCCTTCTGGGGAAACGTTGTTAAAGTCAAAAGTGCACAGTGTTTGTCTTTGTTTATTTAATGAAGCTTACAGAGGATATGGCACCAAAAGGAAGTTGGGGAGCATTTGGGGAACATCTGTAACGGTTCCCGTTACAATTAGCACTAGTTGATATTTTTATAATTCATCATAAATTAATTGAATCAATAAAATATTTAAGTCATACTTGTTATCTTGAAATGCTCATGGGACTGCTGAAAAAAACTGAGATATCCAAGAGATTCAGGGTAAGATATATAGAAAAAAAATGTCGTTCAATGGACTTTAAAATGACTTTGATATCTCAATGTGTTCAAAATATCACTCAGTGTCAACTGTCAAAGACCAAAGTTCAACTCTAAACAGAGTATATAAAATTCATATACATGTATGCCATTTACAGTTGCTAATTCAATCTATCATTGTTCATTAATAATCTGCATGAGAAAGAGATATGCGCAAAATGAGCAAATTAAATTAACAAAAGTAAATCATATATAGTGTTTGCAAATCATTCATCCAATTTGTAATACTGTCACGAACGTCAACATACGCTATATAGGTAGTCAAAGTTTTTTGATTTTAAGATACTGTTGTTTAACTGTACTTATTTAGACTGCACTGTATTCACTTGTTTCCCAACAGCACACATTTCTCACATTATCTGAAATCCATCATTACTATCATGATGAGAGTTATGCCCCTTTTCTATAACCCCAAAATATTGCTTTCTTTCTGAAAATTGTAGCTTTTTTGACCTTACATAGATATCAACTAGAGTCTCCATAAAATTGGAATTTAAATTATGAAAACTTATATTATTTTAATCTCTACTTAACTTAAGGTCAAGTAGAAAGATATATGAAAATCTAAGTTTTTCTGGTTTAAACACTTCGCAAATATTACCAAAATAAAATGCTGGATTATAATTTGCTTTATTAACAGCAATAAACCATTTAAACTGGTATTAAATATACACCTGCACCGTAACCAATCTCTTTACAAACAAGTTATCTCCCTTCGAGAAAATGACGTCATTCGAGACACTCGCCCAAAGGACGCTGAAGAGGGTAATGAGCGAGAGATAAGTTCTTGTCAATTTTGTGAAAATATGGTGCAGTGTGCCGCACTTAACTGCACAATAAAATCTGGCCAGGGAATTAGCCTGTATTTGTTTCCGAAAGATCCCAAATTTAGAAAAATTTGGACTCTCAAATTGAGAAGAGACGGTTTTCATCCTACTCAATACAGTAAACTTTGTGAACGACATTTTGACAAAGATCAATTCTCGATAAATCCTGACATTGCAAACAACGTAAAGTTTCAGTTAAAAAACAAGATCTTGAAATCAGGAGCTGTGCCATCTCTATTCGATTACACGGATCCCAAAGAAAAAAGGCTATCGGTTAAAAGATCAGCTAGCCCCACGTCTCAGCAACATGACATTGACAGGCCAGACGTTAGCATGGTTGGTCGTTCCAAGTCAGATGCCCTTGCGAAAATCACCAAAAGAAGACGCTATAACGTAAGAAAATAATTTTGAAAACCACTATTTAAAACATTTTAATATTTTGCAATATAGAAATCTGGTTATTTAGGGTGACCGGTGACTTCAATTTTCAAATATTGATAAAACAAGTAGAGGAAATTCGACCAACATATGCACATCTTCAAAACGTAAACATGGTAACAATGTTAATAGTTTAAGTTAATATTCGGAACTGATTAACAAAATGTTAACGGACGGTGGTCAATAATAATTATTTTTGTTTAGGCATATGCATTCCTAGTCATTTATTTTGATCACGAATGTATTTTTATCACAAGAGTGGCGAATCATATCACGAATATCTATGTGTATATAAACAAGGTAACGTGTATTTTAACACATATGTTATAACATGTACATGTATAATGCACTGGCGCATTTAGAGGGGCGGCAGATTTAAATGGAGGTTCAGCCCCCCCCCCCCCCCCATGTGCAAAATATATCAAATTTTATTTTGGTGTGACAATATGCCCCTTAAAGTATCAAGTTAATCTGGGTCCTTAGGACATTTATCATTTTAACGATAGAACATTCTATCTACCCTAACCCCAGACTAGTACCCCCTTTTTTTCAAGATTCCTGGATCGGTCAATGTACAATGCACCAATGTATATTTTTGGATTATTTAATTGCTTGCGCTAAATATAGATGAGTATTGATGCATTGCAGATTTTAGATGCCAGTGATATTGACAATGATGAATTACCACAACCACAAGATGATCAAAGATCAGGTGACACAGTCTGTCCAGCAAATTTTAAAGAAACAAATGTTCAACATGTTCAGTGCTATTCCACAATGTCCCAGACAACATATGATGTAGTTGTAAGTTTACTTAAATGTTTATGGCTGCTCCTTTTAAAAAGGGGAGGTCTGGTTCAAAAGGGGTAAAAAATTATGATTTGAGTTTTTGATATTTCTTATGATGTGCATGTTATATACATATACCACATTTACTTAATTTTTCATTATAATCATACCAATATCTTCATATCAATATAACCAGTAAACCTATTAATGAGAATAACATGACATGATTGATATACTGTACAAGATCAAATGTTTGTTGCACTTCCCCATTCCATTAATTTGATTCTTTGGGTTTATTTTAGAAGCGACGCCATGTAAAACTACAAACAGAAATAAACATTTTATCTCCTCCTGATGTGGAAAAGGTTTCTACAGGAACTCAGACTGAAGAGAGAATATCTGAATATCTTGACAACAGCTTCCTGACATCCACAGATGAAGGGGATGACAATGACACAGACTCAGACTCAGACTGGGTTCCGGAAAGTGAGAATGAGGAGCACGATTCTGAACAAGACATTAACCCTGCTAAGGAAAGAAAGTTTATAGTTTTTGAATCCTGCTTAGATCAATTATTTACATCTTGCTACAATTGTGGATGCCAATGTACATTAAGAAAGACTATCATAGGCTCATACATTAGCATTAAGAGTTTATGTGAAAACTGCAGTGCTCAGAAAAAATGGGAAAGTCAGCCTACATCTAGTGCTATGCCCCTTGGTAATTTAATCATTGCAGGAGCTGTGTTATTTTCTGGGGGCAGTGCTCACAAATTCTTAACATTGTGTAGACATGCTTCAGTTCAGATGTTCAGCATTGGAACATACATGAAAATTCAGTCATTGTATTTAGTCCCAACTATAGAAGATGTTTGGCAAAGAGAGCAGTTACATCTCTTTACAGCAGCACAGGAGTCTGGAGAACCTTTGAGGCTGGGTGGAGATGGACGGTGTTGCTCACCTGGCCACACAGCCAAATATCTTTCATACACTTTGATGGATCTGAAGACAAACAAAATCCTGGATACACAGCTTGTGCAGGTAATTACAAACTATCAAAACAATGAAAAAATGCTTAATTTGAAATTATTATTTTGACATTATGTTTTAAATAGATATTTCTTAATTTTCTTGAAGTAAAATTGAACTATGAGACAGAATTTAATTTTTTTTGTTGTTGCTTTTAATGAACCATGCTTATTTTTAATCATAGAAAAATGAAGTTAGAAACTCGTATGCCATGGAGCTGGAGGGTTTACAAAGAGGGCTTGCCAGAATTGCAGATGAGGATCTACAGATTTCACATTTGGTTACTGACCGCCATTCTCAGATAAAAAAGTACATGCGTGAAACCCATCCAGAAATAATACATTGGTTTGATTGCTGGCACATTGCTAAAGGTAACTTTCCTTTATAATTATGTATACTCTATACATCTGATCATATGTTAAAAAATTATTTTACAAGTATCTTTGAGTTTCAAAACATACATAAACATGTACCTTGATATAAACATGTATAAAGTAAAAATTCATTTGTAAGCTAACTTGGGCCCTGCCTCAAGATATAAAGTGTACATATAATGACAAAACTGTCTGATTTTGATAGTGTATAAAAACTTGTTAAATAATCTGTGTTCAATGTCATGAATAATAATGAATTATATTTCATTGAAAATATTCAAAATATGATAAAATAGTATATTTATGTATTGAAATTAGTGAAAAAATCAATTAATTCTTGTCTCAGGAATTTACAAGAAGTTAGAAGCTGTGAGCAAGAAGAAAAACTGTGAAATTGTTGGAGATTGGGCAAGGTCCATCAGCAATCACACTTATTGGTGTGCAATGAGTAGTGGCGGAGATGGTGAGTTGGTGTACCAGAAGTGGTGTTCTATTTTGAATCACGTGTGTAATGTTCATGAGGGGCATGGTGCAGAGTTTCCCAGGTGTGAACATGGAGATCTTGAAGACCGTCTTTGGATTCGTAGAGGTACACACACATATAAATCTATACATATATAGAGAGAGAGAGAGAGAGAGAGAGAGAGAGAGAGAGAGAGAGTTATTATAAGTTATTATATATATTTTAATATCTAAATATATATATAGTAATTCCTTGTATCCGTTTAAGTTTTTAATACATTTTAAAGTCAAGGGGAATGAATATGATGAAAATCACTTCGCAGTAAGTGTCAATTCATTATAAACAAGTTTGTTATATGTGTGGTTTACTGCTTAATTAAATACTAGCTTTTCCTGTAAAAGACTGTTGCCCTCCACCCTTATTTTAATATTTCCAGCATTAGAACTCCAAAAATACATCCTTTATGACAAGATATCAATGTTTTTAGGTTCCAAAGCTTACGATGAGTTGGAAAAGGTTGTCAAAGGCCGGCTTCTTTTGACAGATATCAGAAAAATGTCTCCTGCAGAACAGACTTCTGGGCTTGAGGCTTTCCACAAGGTGCTCTGTCATTTTGCCCCTAAGTTTGTGCACTTCTTCCATGCACAAATGGAAGCACGGTACGTAATTAACTCTAAGGAACTTTGAAAATTGAAAGCTTTATTTTGAGTGTATTGCATGAATTACTTAAGCCTTTAATTTACACTAAGGTTTTTTAGCTCACCTGAGCTGAAATTCAAGTGACCTTTTCTGATCACATTTTGTCTATAGCCCGTCTGTCCAGCTGTCCATCCGTCTGTAAACTTTTCACATTTTTGACTTCTCCAGAACAATTTTTCGACCAAACTTGCCACAAAGGGGAATCAAGTTTGCTCAAATGAAAGGCCACACCCCTTTTCAAGGGGAGATAATTAAGAAAAAGTGAAAATTTGGTGGCATGTTTCAAAATTCTCTTTTTCAAGAACCACTGAACCAAGAGTTGAAACATATACATGTATGTGAAACTTTCCTTACGTTGTGTAGACTAAGTTTGTTAAAATGATGAACTCTAGGGGTAAGTTTTACATAGTACTGGTAATCACTAATGTATAGGAATAAATCTTTAAAAATCTTCTCAAGAACAGCAAAACTATGATTGGTAATGTTGATATGGAATCATCCTCAGGTAGTGAAGATTAAGAATATATTGACAGACTGAATAGCTACAGTGCCACCAATTGAAAAAATGTGTATTAAAAGTGCACAAAAAAGTGTGCACAGTTCTGTATTAATTCTTTCAAATTCTTACCTCAATTGCAAAAAAAGCTAGATTTCAAAAAAATTCTTACTCCTCAGTTCTGCAGCTAGATTCAAATTTGTTCAAATCAAAACCCCCACAATGAGGGGCCACAATGACGGATCAAATTTTTACAAAGGAATATATAGGAAAACATGTTTAAAAATCTTATATTCAAGAACATCAAAGCCATTTGTTATATTAATGTGGAAGCATCTTTAGGAAGTCTAAAATTTAAGTGCCCCCTCCCCCATTGAACATGTATTTTTTCAATACTAAACTGATTTGTGCTTTTCAGAGCAAATGTGCTCAAGTGAGTGATGTGGCCCATGGGCCTCTTTTTTTATATGAAAAGTTTCATAAAATTATTTTCAGAATCACCTTTTATAACTTTTTATAGGTTTTATTTAGCCACATTGCATTTTGATGAAAATTCAACCAGGGAGCAGGCAAAAAATCAAGATGGTGATATGATATACAGTGTTTCATACCCAAAGGGAAGGAAGGGTGAAGGAGGTTGCCAAAGAAGTAAAAATTCAACAAACTTTTAGTAAGTGCATGAATATCATTATACACCCTTCATTTAAATTCTCAAGCCAAAAAAGTGTTATCCTTATAAGTAGGTATTGTATGTTGGCCTTCTACAAATAACTTTTTAATATAGACTGATACTAGAGGTATTTGAAAGGAAGGTGATTGCCCAAAATTTTAAGCTTCGGTAAACTATCAATAATAAATCATTTTTGAGTGCATCGGAATGTCGGAGAGGTAATGCAGTTTTAATATTAATTACTAAAACTCCTTGGTTTGCAAGGAGTATCAAATACCTGTACAGGGTATAATAGGGTTTCTCGGATGGAGATAAGATTTAATTTTTCACATGGAAAAATAGGATTCCTTTTTTATATCTGGTCTTGTAGAAATAATAAATCCTGCATAATGTCCAGTTGCTTGCTTGTTTCAATTGACAGATTATGTGAATGAACTGTTTGAAGACCTCATCTTCAGAGAGAAGTCCACAATTCTTATGGAGAGGCGAGAGCAGCCAAAGCAATAAATGAGAAAGAAAGACCGAGACCAATTGCTCAGATGGAAGGAAGGGCTAGAAAAGAAGACATTGTGGCTACTGATCCAGATTTTATTGAATAAATATAATATTTCCAAATTCTATCATTATTCTGGATATTTAAAACCACAATAGGTTTGGGAAGGAAAAGTCTTGTCTGATTTTGCTGACAACACAAGATGGTAGACACGTCTATTCTTCTTCCCAAGAATATGATAAACCCACCGAACAAATCTTCTGTAGGCAAGATGTCTGTAAAGTCTGAAATATTGCAGAGGATATGCTCAACATAATCCTATATGTGCACTTATTTAGGCCTAAATTAAAATGTTTGTTTGCCCTTAGCTGACCGAACTATCGAAATTAGCCCGACTCAAAATATTTTATTGCTTTTTTCATTTACAATTTTTTTTTAACCTGGTAGTTGAATCATTTCAACCCAGTTTAAAATGTTCTTTGAGGTCATTTAGATGCTTAATTTAGTAGTGACTAATTTTACTTATAAAATATAATGGACTACCTTTTTGTTTATTCAGTGCTTGCAGCCCTTACCTCCTTAGATATTGGTGAGAATATAGGATGTGAAATCGACACATTCTGAGGATTCAATTTTGTTCAAAGAGGGACACTGGTGTTAGGTTGGGGTTAAAACTGGGGATTAAATTTTACATGACGTTTGGACCCACATTCTTTCAAAGGAATTTAGATGGAATTTTTTTCAAAACAACCTTTTGAAGAGCAGCAAGAGGAAAATGATGCAGTCGAGCATTGTGACCCTCATGCTTCTTGTTTTAATTTTAAGAAGAGAAAATTAAATATTTCTCCTACCTACCTGCCCATTGTTAAAAAAATCTGGGTTGGTAAAAGGGCAAAAAACATTTTTTTTTAAATATTCAACTAATCATTTATTACATGTACTTTGGACTGAAAGTTTTGACAGTAAAAAGGGGAGAGGTGGCCATATCACTCGGAGAAAAAGGAAAATGATACCTGAACAGGAAAGACAAAATTGTGAGGAAAAGTGGACTTCCATCTGAGACTGAGTTGATCTTTTTTTTTAATTGTCATTATTTTGTGAATTGTAAAGTAAAATTAAATCCTTGTTTTGATATTTCAACAGCTTTGTCCCTATTTATTGAAATACCTAGCAGGCAACATTTTGTCAGGACAATTACACGCTTAGTTTCGACTTTCAGTAAGCCTGGCATTCTCGACGTTACCTAATTAACTTCTGAAATTTACACAGCTTCCCTTCACTGTCTAAATGTACATATCATAGAAATGCGGCCGAATGTAATGGTGTAGTAAATAGCCAATTAAAAGTTCTCTAATGGCACAGAGGTGGGGTATAAGTCGTCTATCGTTGTCAACAACAATTTTAAATTCCTGATGTTATTAATTTCTTTACCGATGAGAATCTACTATATTCGCTATTCGTGCGCCGGGAATCCACGCCCTACTGAAAGTCCAAACTAAGGGGAAAATCATCCTAAAAAAATTTAAAAGAAGGTGAGGTTCTTCCGCTTACAGCTAGGGGCTTAACTGGATTTCAAGTAATGGGGTTACATCAAAATGCAGGAAAATTCTCCGGGCCCCCGGGTCTTAGGGAAACCCTGTAATCAACAATGCTGAAATTCCCTTTGGGAAAGGGAAAACCTCCCCCCCTTGACCTGTCTATGAAACTTACTCATGGATGGGTTCTCTTTCATTTGTCTGCCATTATCCTGTATGTATTCATAGTAAAAATTAACACATAATGATTTAAACAATTTACGATGAAACCTTTATGCTCAGTAATACATTGGAGAGATTTCTCATCACCTTTTCCCTTTACTATGTTGGTGTTTCGGCAGCATTTGTTTTCCCTGCTGTGGCATTTCCACACAGTTTCCACAATTACACCTGAAGTGAGGGCATAATAAATCTGCATTTGGGTTCTGGTTAAAAAATTGTTAAACACTGTATCATAGAACGTTAGGCAAACAAATCTACAAGCAAATAAATAAATAAATAAGGGGTAACTTTTAAAAATTTCCCGTATTGATTGATTGATTTTATGTTATTTAACACCCCTCTCTAAAATTTTCACTCATAAGTCATAAGGAGACGCCACCACTGATATCAGTTTTACCTTATTAGATGTTTCCTAATATGTACGCCCGGGAGCCTGATGCATGTCATTTTATTTTTGTGGCTAAACGTAATATACATGTAAAAACACAATAAATTAATTAGGCCTAACCTACATACCAACTCTCGACAGGTTCCCTAGTGACGTCTTCAGAGCTTGTCGGCGATTCCCTTCCCGATTCCGAGTGCGATTCATGATGATCACTTTCTGACAAACTATTACATGTATTAGTAGAACGATCTTTACCCAAAGGTTCAAATATGTATGGCTGTATATGCAGTGTCAAATCAACTTCGGGTATTTCACCGTCACTGTCATTATCTTCCATAAAATGAGCCATGTCGTAATCGGAGCGTTATGATATATGGTGAGTAGTCGATCTTTGTTTTGATATTGATGTCTCGAATGACGTCATGAACAGGGGAGGTAACATCGTCGGGGATAATAGAAATTGTCAGTTTTCAAACAGGTAAATCAAGCATGTAGGTGTCATTAAAAAATTGGAAACTTTAAAATCTTCATTTAATATATGGCATTGACAATATATCAACCTTTAGAGCGTTTTATTTTCATGATACTTGACCTTTAAAAGCCAGGAAATAAACAAAATAATTTTCCAATATTTACATTGGACATTCAAGATAAACATTCTGTTTCTAATTATGGCACATCCATTATCCTTGATTCTGGGATTCTGTACTAGGATGTATTTGTTCAAAAAATATGATGTATTGTGGCCCTGATAATCTTGAATAGATTTCATAAGAAAAGGCTTCTGAGCCTTAAATATTCCAGAATAAAACTTTGACCCCCCACTGTGGACCCACCCTACCCTATAGCTATATGATCTGAACAAATCTAAATCTGCTCTTAACTATCTCAGAGTGACTAATAATGACCTGCCTATTCTTGAAAAGAATTAAGATTTAATTTTTTGTCTACGAATTACTATTGTCCTCTCTATTTTATTGCTGTACTCTATATACATCAATAACATATCATCACCAGTAATCAACATACCTTCTCTTTGGACTTGACATCCTTTCCTAGATTCTCGTGGTTGAAGATTTCATCAGATTATTTGTTTTGTTACAGCTGAACTACAAATATGATAATAAGTTAATACCAATCCTCTACATTTAATTAATCCAAATAAAATACAAGCATTTGCAATTATGTGGAAAAAAAACTGAATGAAAAATACTGACAAATATCAATGCACTACATGCAAATCAGAAAAATATGTAATGCAATCATTTACAGTTTGCATAATATACTGATTATGTATCAGCATAATTTTCAGTTCATTAAATTGTTTGCTGAAACAGACAACCAATTGTATTTATAAATTCTTTTTTAATGGATTTTCTTCTGCCTTTGAACTTACATGTACTATTATGCAGCATGATAATGTGAGAATTTTTTCACCCATTCTTTATTATTAAAGTATCTGCTGAAAATAGAACAGAATGTGATTAAATCTTTTGAGAATTAAACAAAAACAAAAATCACTGATGCATGATTTTCAATTATATTGACCCTTTTATCAACATCTCTCTCTCTCTCTCTCTCTCTCTCTCTCTCTCTCTCTCTCTCTCTCTCTCTCTCTCTCTCTTACTATATATATATATATATATATAACTTTACACAGGATTCTTTTATACATTGATATACCTGTAAATGTAGATATTGGAGTAATTGGGCGTGCTTAATATTTTTTATTTTTTTATTCCAATCAGCATGATCAGGATGATAATAATTAAATAATAATGTTGCATATTAAATATGTTATAATTTCATCCTTACAGTTACATATACAATACTCACAACAAGCAAAACTTGAACTTGCACATCACTGTCTTCAGAGTATATCCTGCAAGTAACATTCGATCATTGCACATTACAAATGAATTGAATTGATTTTCTTTTTTAAAAGTTTATATTTGCTTTTTTGTTTCATTTTAATGAAATTATAATTTTTGTGCATTTAATACAGTATCTGACATCACTATCATGTGCATACATATTGAAGATCATTTTTAAATTCAATCAACAATGTCATTCTTCAAAAGAAAGCCCATATTTTAAAAGTGGAGAAAAAATATATTTTCTTGTGTGTATAATTTGTGTGGGATGGTGCATATCATTAAAAAAACAAACAACAAAAAGGACGAAATGTCTCGATAGCTGACTTTACAATGCAAGGCTAAAAAACAATTGAAGGCCCACTGGACTGGGGTCAGTGATTTTTGTTTTTTCTAGGATAGTACATGGTAGGGGGCATCTGTCTTTTGGGTCAGTTCTATGTACATGTATAACAAAATACAATTATAGTTGGGCTAGTAACTTGACAGGCTTGTTTCAAAGTTCTGTCATTTCCGAATCCTGTTTTGTTTAGATTAATTATTTGTCCAACTGTGTATCACATTAAATAAACAAAATATAACTATTACATTTATCATGATTATTATTATTATTATGGTTTTGGGTCAGTCTCTTTTTATCAAATCTAGTAGCCTGGAAGCGGGATAGTGATATTATGATGATCTGACCAGTAAAAAGCCTGAGTGAGCAGTGAAAGAAAACTATTTCTAGCCTGGGTCTACAATGATTTCACATTTGTGCTTCATTATATACTGTACATTTTCTAAATTTAATAATGTTTGTTTATTTAACCTCGTAGGGTCAATTGTGTTATTTTTGTCATACCTGGAGATGGCTGTACAAAATGTACTCTACAGCTGTACCTGCAATAGACAAACAAAAAAGAAAATTACTTTTCATTTAACACATTGAAATAATTAAACAATATGTAAAATTAAATACCGTGATGTATTCTTACAAACAAAAATGCAAAACATCAATGTAAATTATCTTTGATGCACGCATGCATGTAATTTATTATACCCCCCGCTTGAAAAGCGGGAGGGTATATTAAGCAATCGGTATGTCTGTCCGTGCACGTGATTGATTGACTGTATGTTGTTTAGAATGTCCCTCTCGAAAATTTTTCACTCATATGGAGACGCCACCACTTGCCGGTGGAAGGTTACAAGTTTTGGGTGAGGGCCTATGAGCAGGGAGGAATCTTTTTTGTGCCAGCACCTACAGCGACACGGGGCCTCGGTTTATACGGTCTCATCCAAGGACCGGTCTCCACGTCCCACAGTGGGATTGGAATTAGCGACGTAAGGATTGACTCCTTACTTCCTGACTCTAGAGCAGACTCTCTAATCACTGCGCCACGCGGGCGACAACTGCATATGTGAAGTTTCATATCTGATATATACACAAGTGTGTGCATGAGAACTGCATTGACATCATCTGATCATAAATTCTATGATATTAAATTAGAAAAGTAACTACCATATTTTGATCAGAAGGCTCTAGTGAAAACTGCATGATTGATATAAACTGCTGACACTATTAAAACGGCAAACAAATGTAAACAAACCTTTAATCCTTTATCCAGGTACACATGTATATGTGTAGAGGAAATTCGGAAGGACTTCTTGTGCATACACATGAGTATGCACGAGTACGGATAGATCAAATTTTAGGCTAGTCTCTTGGTATTTGAAAAAACACATATGGTTCTCACAAATCACTGGGTATTGATAAGTAATGCATGCATAGTAGACTACCTTACAAGTAGGAACGAACTATAGCACACCTGCATTTTCTCTTCAATTTTAGACATGTATTAACAGCATTTGACAAACATGCCCTAAAATATTTAGCCATTTTGTGCTAGAGGTAATCGAAAAAATAACTGAAATTCTACTTACGAGTGTTTTTGTTCACTAAATCAATGTATGTGGGTTAATGTTGACCATCACAACTACTCCCTTCCACGTGGAAACATGTTTTCAAAATCGAGAGGAGCTGTTTTGACACTTTAAAGTGCAATAGCACTTGATAGAATAAGAAACTGCAAACCTACTTTCACTTTTCAGGTAAAGAAACGTTTGTTTTTCAACTTTTTGCAATTTACAAATCTTATAAATCGAGATAACGTAAAGTTTTACCTTTTTTTTCATGTTGAATTTTTCTCTCGATTTTCACCTGTAGCATGTTGGTCTCCCTGAATTCTCGCGAGGAAAGCTGTTCGGACGTTTACGGATTTTGTTCATATTTTATTACGTTTATCTCCGAATTCTTCCGATTTATGCTAATGAGGTTAGGAGGTGTGATAAACCAAGGTCTTGTGTCGCAGTAGATCCCTCACTGCTCAAAGGACCTGAGTGCCGCGTATAGGACAATATCTGCAGCTCTCCATGGGTATGCAGTAACCATTCTAAAACTAAGTTAAGAACACTGCGTCTTGAACGTCTAAGCATTCTCTGCCGAATGGTATTTTTGAAAAGATATTTTAGTTAAAAGATTTGACGAATTTAGGCAGGTAAATAATTTTAGGCAGTAAGGACGTGCTACAGTCTAGTACATTATAATTGTCATCTTAACCTTAACAATTAACCTTTATCATTCTAACTGGTACTATGCATCTTCTTACTAAATGTGAATATAAATTATATGATTCTAACACTGTGTTTGAGTTTTTTCTGTAGATTGTTCATTTTCTGCTTCCAGTAATTCCCATAGATTGTAAGGATCTACATGGGGAGGGTTACACGGATTCAGGGGTGTATGAAATCTATCCCTATGGCACCACTACCAGTATTGTAACTGTTTACTGTGACATGACGACAATGGGCGGGGGATGGACGGTATGTAATTATATAATACAAAATGGTGGTCTTACTTAATTATATATTCAAACTCAGTGTTTTTCCTGTTCTAAAGAATAAAGGATGGAAAAAGATATTAATATTTTTACTTCATTTTATAACATAATGATCACACAATTGTTTGAAGCACTGAATCGTATCGCTATACACTATGTTGACTTTTAAAGGCAATCCAAAAACGCATAAATGGATCTCTGAGTTTTGACAGGGATTAGACAGGATATAAAAATGGTTTTGGGTCACCAGAACAGGATGTCCGGGTTGGTAAGTGTAAAACACTTTCAAATAGGAACTTTCATCGGCTTCAAAATTTGACAATGTGTGAATAATGAAAAAAAAAATGGATTCGTATCAAGCATCTGACTAGAGTTATGTCCAAGACACGATGTAGTTACGATATCGACACATTACTTTCTTATAGTTTTCTATAATATTTCTCTATTATAGTGTGTTTATAACAATACTTCCTGTTTTAAGACTATTTCCTTAGTGTTAGTATCCTCAATATCGTGCCAATATCGAATCATGATTGTTCCGAGAATTGTAGTTTCCGTCCTTAATATGCTGTTTTTAAGAACTGTTACTTAAAACTTTCTTTATAAATCTTTCCCTGAAGAGTCGATATCGTCGATATCGACAATATCGTTCGATATCGAATCATGTTTGCCCAACCCTTGGTAAATACCTTCCCTGTTACTTTGAATGTGGTTATGGTTAATTACTTTCCTTTTACGAAGATTTTACCTGCCATCGATATCGTCGATATCGACGATATCGTATCGATATCGAATCATAATTGTTAACAGCAGATTACTTTACCAATCTTCACCCTTATACAAAAACTTTATTTTTACAACACTTCTGTGTTTAATAAGTTTACATTACTGTCGATATCGTCGATATCGACGATATCGAATCATGATTGTTAAAACATTTCTAAGAGTTTTCACAGTAACCCAACATCTTACTCTTAATCTAATCTAAAACAATAACAAACCGAAAAGTTTCATAATCATAATTTATTTTCATATTCATGCCAATAATGAATCAATTTTGACTTCACTTGTGACTTTGTAAAATTATGTTACATACCACAACGTGAAAATAAATTCTGCAGATAGGATCGATATCGATACGATATCGTCATGATATTGTCGACGACATCGACGTAAAAAACGTCTCAAATTTTGCATCAGGTATTCAAATAATTAATGCTCATCACGATCGATATCGATACGATGTAGATATGAAATTGTCGATATCGTCGATATCGACATCAAATTCGTTTTTGGACATGTATGGATGTCAAACTGCTAGATGTAAAACATTTTATGTGAATATTTTTCATGAATCAATTTTTCAAATATTTGAAACAACAGAATAACGTAAAAATAAATCTAATTTTTTGTTCATAGTAAATTTTACAGTCACACATGATTTTTTTGTAGATTTGTACATACCCTTAACATTTGGAGGAATGACATGTTGTAGTTTCTTAATCTTATCTGAAAAAATATAGTTTTTAGTTTTCTTTTTATTCTTTATTAACTACAGTTTGCAACTGGTACATGCAAAGTATCATTAACAAAGTGCTTAGATATTAAATATTAAAATTGTAAATGTCAACAGAGTTATACTTAAAATATCAGATGTCAATATTTAACGGATTCAAATTATCAAACATCTGAAATAACAGAAAACTCATTAACTTTTAACGATTTTATTGTTAAATCTACAGTTATGTATGTTATGAAGATTTGTACGTACCCTTAACATTTGGAAGGATATCTTGCTGTAGTTTCTTAATTTCATCTGGAAAATATCAGGAAAATTAGTTTTTAAGTTGTCAATTTTTGCTCTTCTTTATTCAAAACGATGCAAACACGGACATCCAAAACATCAGAAGTGTGATCAGGTGCCATGGAGTTAAAAGTATATGAAATTAATAAACATTTAAAATAATTAAAACAATTTTTTTTAATTAAGGGAGATAAATTATTTTAAATGAAAAGAAAATAAAAAATGCATTTTAATATTCATATTTACGTAAAGAGAAGAGCAGATTGATACTACTAGTACACTGTATATATATGAGTGTCGTTTCTTGAGATAGGTATTGGTTGCGATCATTCGCACTGGGTAACGATGTTTTGAACATTACTTCCTATTTCGTGCAATGAAGAGTTTCACTAAGTTAATGATCTAATTCTTATGATGATATACTCTAAAACAAATATTTCGGAAAAAACCAGCTAAAAGTATTTTTTTTTTGTACAGTCAAGGATTTTGTTGTTCGATATTCGTTCATATCTTTGTAATGTATACAGTTTTTTATTTAACTGCATCTGGTGGTGTACATATTATTATAAAAATTAACAATAAATTAGATATGCTGCATATGATCTTAAGGAATATATTAGCAAGCTTACATCACAGACACAGAAAATAAAACAACAAGCCCAGGGGTCTCATCGCTCACCTAACAATTGACTAGGAAAAAGCACATATAAGATCAGAAGTGAAAGATTACTGTCGTTGGGATGGGGGAGGCTTGAATTCTAACCCCAAGGGGTCATGACATGAACAAACTAGAATTTACACTACCTGAGGATAATTCCCTATAAATATCACTAAGCATGACTTTGAAGTACCTGAAAAAAAAAATTTAAAAGGTTTCCCTATACTTTCCTATGTAAAATTTTTATCGGCCATTTGGACCCACCCACCCCCGGGGGTCATGATTTGAAAAAAAAACTTGAATCTACACTACCTGGGGATGATTCCACATGAGTTTCATCTTTCCTGCCCTACTGAGTCTTCAGAAGAAGAATTTAAAAGATTTTTCCCATAAATTTGATCGGCCATTTTGGCCCCACTCTACCCCCAGGGGACATGATTTGAATAGATTTGAATCTACACTACCTGAGGATGATTCCACATGAGTTTCATTTTTCCTAGCCCAGTGGTTCTTGAGAAGAAGATTGTTTTTAAAATGCCATGAATTTTTCTCTAATTCATAATTATCTCCCCTTGGAAAAGGGTGTGGCCCTTCGTTTAAACAAACTTGAATTCCCTTTACCCAAGGATACTTTGTAGCAAGTTTGGTGGAAACTGGCCTAGTGATTCTTGAGAAGAAGATGAAAATGTGAAAACGACAACAAGGACTACAACGACGACGAAGACGACAACGACGACAGGCAATGGAAAACGGACAAATTTTAATCAGAAAAGCTCACTTGAACCTTCGGCTCAGGTGAGCTAAAAATACAGGTTTAGTTAAATGTCTTCGAAATACGGAGAGACAAGAAAACTGATTTTGGTGACCGGAGTGACTCAGGTGACCTAAAAGTAAACTCACCCGTGTGACTTTTAACAGTTTCACACAATTCATCAATAAGTAAAAGTTTATCAATATATTTGGCCTCTATCTCTGGATCCATAGAACAAGTTCTTATATCGTTCACAGCATCTTGGTAAACAGTGGTAGTTCCAAAGTGTTGTTCTAAATCAACCGTAATATCGTGAATGTTTTGCCATTCCTGTTTAAAATCTGATTCTGAAAGTGAGAAATCTGCTGCATGTCCATAGTACTTGTTTCTTGTCAGCCTGATTCTTTCTATGTTGGCAGATACACTATTGTCCGTGGGATAGGGTTCTTTTCCCCATCCGTTATTGTGTGGAGGTATTTTACACACATTACTTAGAAGAATATACAGCAAACTAATGTCAAAATCTGAATAATCCCCGCCATATTGTTTGGTTGGCAGGGGAAAGATGAGAGCAGTTTGTTGTTTATTAAAGGGATTCTTTAATTTGTTCTTTTTTATATCATCAATCAAAATTTTGACAGTTTTTGATAACTTTGATGGTAAGATTTTCCCTTTGAGGACATCACGCAGCAGATCTGTGCATGGACCAAGGATAAGTCTTGCTACCCGGGCAAGATTTGTGGTTTCTGGTGTAGACCTATATCTATGTGGCGATGTTTTGGAATTGACATTTCTCATCATTTGGTAGAACTGTAAAATAAATTATTAGAAAAATCATACTTATATATTTTTGCACCCTTCCTTTATTTACTTACGAATATCAATGTAAAACAGAGTTTGATCAGATTTTTGTTCTTGTAAAATAATATCTTCGTTAATAGTGAAAGCACAAAAATGATCTTAAAACCCTGATTTTGTTTCTGTTTTAAGGTAAGTCACTCCTCAGCTTTTTAGAAAAGTTCACGCAGAAGTTTTTACTTCAAAACTACTTATTTAAATTCAATTTTTATAACATATTTAAATTCAACAATGTAATTTTTTTAACATTCCATGAAAAAACTGCTCAAAAATCTACAAAGAAGCAAGATTTATGAGGGAGTATTTCTTTTGGTGGAAGGATATTTAGCAGAAAATTCTGCAAATCTGCACATTTATAAAATTTAATGTAATGGAAATTTAGCCTCACATACTTTTACTCGGAGAATATTTTCCGTTTTGATATTGCTAAATATATTTAATATAGGTCTTAATTTATAGTTTTGGACTAAGTTTTACACCTTCCCTCAACAAACTTTTCCAAAAAATGAAAATATATTGAACAAGTCAAGGTCAAATTTAACCATTTTTTGCCTGAAAAACACATATTTTGACAAATATTTCAAAATTAACATCACTGACCCCACCCTTTTCTTTCATTATTTTAAACTACTCGATACTTGTGACTGATCAGCACTCAAGTCGTAAAAAGTTTGATATAAGAAATTTTTTTATAGCCTATTAAGTTTTTTAATACCCCCAATAAGTTATTTTTTAGTGCAAAAAGTTCACACAATAATTTACGCGCATTAATTTGCAAGATTTGTTTAATGATAAATATTATTCAAACTTTTTTACGTAAAATAAGATTATATTTATTGCCATGCTTATATCTAATCAAATATTATAAGGGTTAAAGTAATTAACCAAAGAGATGAAATTTAAGTGCAAAAAGGTCAACTTAAATGTACCGTAGATCAGTAGGATGCACACTGACCTCCTATTTTCTTTGCGATTTTGAGTTACACTTTATGAGTACTTATCCAAAATATACTTCTCAAAAAATCCTTGATATAACAAATTTCAGGAGTGACTTACCTTAAGACAATTTTGTTGCTACACAATTTTTATCTTCTAAATTTTTTTTGGAATTTCAATCATTTCCATGAAGGATATGGAAACAACGAACAGTATTCAATCTCAACGTCCATCAAACAATATACAAAATAAGAGCAGAGCAAACACAGACCTCCGAAACATCAGAGGTGGGATCAGGTGCCATGGAGGAGTGAGCATCCCCTGCCGACCGGTCACACCCGCCGTGTGCTCGTGGTCATGATCAGGAAATAACGGAAAAAATCCGTCGTCAATTCAGTGTATAAATAATGGACTAACAATTGGTATGAAAAACGTCAGTCAGCATTTGATTCAATGATAAATTGTATTTGCTGACAAGATCAGTGTAGCAACCAAAAAATGTACGAAATGAAGACTTTAAACGAAACTGTTGATATTCTTGTTTCATCAACTTGCTTGTCAATAATTTACCTCGCTTAAGAAATTGTTCATACGTAGAGCACGCTCCTGCGTATCGAATCAACTGAGATATATATACTCCGTATGCAGGTGATGAAGGTATATTGCTGCATAAGTAAGGGAAGTTGACGATAGAAAAGTTAAAGTCATTACGTTTATCATATAGCTCGGTTGTTAGATTACCATAAGTGTCTTCTTCAAGTAAAATATTCAAGTATGAAGCAGAAGTGTCGGACTCTGTGGTATCTTTTATCTCAAGCTCACCAGGATATATCGTATCAACGTAGGAATGGAAATTATCATTATTAATAGACAATACGTCGTCGATATATCTAAATGTCGAGTTGAAGGCCACAGCAAGTGTTTTCTTCTTTTCACGCATAAGATTTTGCATAAATTCTGCTTCATATGAATAAATGAAATAAGTCTGCTAATAACGGAGCGCAATTTGTATCCATAGGAATTCCAATAGATTGTTGGGATACCTGGTCTCCAAAAACCACATAGATATTGTCAATCAGAAACTCAAGCATCTTCTTGATGTCAACTTCAGAGTACTTATGTGTGCAATCAGAATCTGTTTTAACAAAATAATTTTGCAAATGACCAATGACGAGGTAAGTAAATTTACGAGTTCCATTTTTGTTGAAGAAGCAGCTGTCAATGATATCAAAAAGCCTGGATTTTAATTTGTCGTGAGGAATCGTTGTGTATAAAGTTGAAAAGTCGTAAGTTTTTAAGCTGTTGATTTTTCACATAATACTACATGATACGACTCTTGAAGATTAACTCACTGACGCAAACATATTGCTGAGTTTGGCTTTTAGTCTTTTCGCTACTTCTAAAACATTACATTAACCAAAGATCCCATTTCCACAAACAACATAAATAAGTGAAATGAAACTAGCCAATAACTGACCTGAGAGTTCCTTGCCCATTTCAGTAAATGAAGGATCAACACACACAATGCTATAACTATGAATGCCATCTTTCCAAACTCGTACAAACAAAATTGTGTCCACATAGAGTACATCTTAGCGTGTGCACCGAGAATCAAATCGGCTGACTAGAAAAGATAGAAAAAGGTTGATTGATTGTTTGTTGTTTAACGTCCCTCTCGAGAATTTTTCACTCATATGGAGACGCCACCACTTGCCGGTGGAGGGCTACAAATTTTGTCCTATACTCGGCACTGAGGGCCTTTGAGCAGTGAGGGATCTTATTCGTGCCAGCACCTACTGCGACACGGGGCCTCGGTTTATACAGTCTCATCCGAAGGACCGGTCTCCACGTCCCGCAGTGGGATTCGAACCCGTGACGTAAGGATTGATTCCTTACTTCGCGACTCTAGAGCAGACGCTCTAACCACTGCACCACGCGGGCAACGGTAAAAATAGAAATGAAGGCAATAAGAACTGGATTTCTTGTTTGAAACTTTTCAAGTCTTGCTAGTATGTATGAGATAAATTCTAAAAATTGTTCTATATCAAAAAAACATCGGACAGTCTCAGGACCGTTAGAGCCAAAAAACTGTCTTATATTTTTAATATTAAATTGCATCATACGGAATCATACTTAAACCATTACTTTTTTATCTGCTTAACTCAATCCGATAGTACAACAAAAGTGTAAATAACCAATGAAGCAATGTTAAGCTCACCTCGAAGAAATCCATTCTAAAGGAACTATAAGCCCTACCTGAACTAAACTTGCATGGATGATGCATCTAGGGATGTACACTACCAGACTTGACTCAGATGCTGGATCTAACCTACATTTTCCAGATGAATGATCAGGTTAAAGTTTTGGGAGCAGGTCCATTCCCAAGGAACTTTAAGCCCTACCTGAACCAAACTTGCATGGATGATGCATCTAGAGATGTACACTACCAGATTTTCTTCAGATGCTGGATCTGACCTACATTTTCTAGTTGAATAACCAGGTTAAAGTTTTTGGAACAGGTCCATTCAGAATGAACTATAAGCCTTGCCCAGACCAAACTTGCATGGATGATACATGTAGGGATGAAAAATACCAGACTTGCTTCGGATGCTGGATCTAACCTACATTTTCCAGATGAATGATCAGGTTAAAGTTTTGGGAGCAGGTCCATTCCCAAGGAACTTTAAGCCCTACCTGAACCAAACTTGCATGGATGATGAATCTAGAGATGTACACTACCAGATTTTCTTCAGATGCTGGATCTGACCTACATTTTCTAGTTGATTGACCAGGTTAAAGTTTTTGGAGCAGGTCCATTCAGAATGAACTATAAGCCTTGCCCAGACCAAACTTGCATGGATGATACATGTAGGGATGAAAAATACCAGACTTGCTTCGGATGCTGGATCTAACCTACATTTTCCAGATGATTGACAAGGTTAACGTTTATGGAGCAGGTCCATTCAGAATGAACTATACGCCCTACCCAGACAAAACTCGCATGAATGATGCATCTAGGGATGGACACTACCAGACTTGCTTCAGATGCTGGATCTGACCTATATTTTCATACTCAAGTAACTATAAGCTGTACCTGAACCAAACTTGCATGGATGATGCATCTAGGGATGAACACTACCAGACTTGCTTCAGATGCTGTATCTGACCTATATTTTCATACTCAAGTAACTATAAGCCCTACCTGAACTAAACTTGCATGGATGATGCATCTAGGGATTAACACTACCAAACTTGCTTCGGATGCTGTATCTGACGTACATTTTCCATACAAGAGACCAGGTTAAAGTTTTGGGAACAGATCAATTCCAATGAGCTTGAAGTCCTTGATATCTGCAGTATTAACAAAGTTTTGAATAATTGTTTGCACTATACATGTTTTTCATGCTAAATGTGTAAATGCCCTGTAAGGGGTTAAACACAACTTGTAAGAATAATGTTGTTGTGATACTTAATATTAAGAAAATATGATGTGAGATTTACATTATTTACACTGATAACATTTGTCGATGTGAGCTTCGTAATCTTTGATGTTTTCAAAAATGCAGGCGGCTTAATTGAAAGTACTCAGTACTACAGTAATTATTTACACTGTAGAATGTATTCGAAGTAAATTGATAAGTTTGAGTTCGAGAAAGGGACAATTTTTTCTTGGTGCTTAGAGAAACTCTACACCACACCTTTATTTCAGGGTACTTTTATGTGGTAAGACTGATCCACCATTTGATATAACATGGAATGAAATAAAGTCTTCGCTGTGTGGCATAAATTAAAATAAATTAAAGTATTCTAAACCATTTATTAGACCAAGATAGAATGGCTGAAAACTTTATTTGCACGTGAATTCTCCACTTGAGTAAGAAAATTCGATTTTGTCCATTACTCTATTGTCATGAGAGATTTTTTTTTCGGATAATAGGGGCACGCTACCTATATCAAAATGAGTGCAGTATGTTCAAAATATCTTTCACTACATTAGGCTATTCTCTAAAAGTCCAAAAATCATTTTCATCAATGTATAGTGGATCCTTAAGGTGTAATATCCCTCTGAAAAGAGAGATAACATTCCAGGGAATTATTCCAAGCATTCCTTACAAGAGTTTTTTTTTATGAGGACCATTATGTAGTAAAGTTCTTCAACTCTGGAATATGATACAAATATTGATTTTGGCATGCTGACTGACGTTTTTATGTGTGAAAATTAGCGACATCAATCAACCAAACTTGTAAGAGATTTATTAGGACCCGACACTCCAAACCACACTTTAAGTAGATATGTTTTTTGCATAGAGCAGATTAATATCTGATTTGAATTATGCAAGTAGTTGTAGAGTGTTTCGGCTATTAAGAAGCCTCATCAGGGGTCACGGACATAAATCATGATGTTTGTTTTAGGTGAGACCGGATTATCTCGTCACCTATATTCTTATGTTTGCTGTAAGCAATGATTGGTTGAGAATTAAATAAAGTTTTGCATTCTGGATTTCTAAGAATGGTGTTCCAATATTTTAGAATTCGTTTTTTCAGTCCTTTAACGCAAGGGTTAAATTTAGTAACCAGTACTGTAGGGTTACGTAATGACTGTTCTTTAGTCTTTTTGATGATGAGTTTTGATCGGTTTGTGTTGACCGTTTCCTTGATAATAGGATCAATTTCCGAAGTAGAGTAGCCTCGCTTTGATAAGTGCGTCTTGAAGTCATTAAGTGTTGCATGTAATATTTCAGGGTCAGTGGTGTTTCTCGCATGTCTAATGCATTCTCCTTTAATGAATCCTTTAAACACAGCTGGGCTATGAGCGCTCTGTCTGTGTAGATACTGAAAGTTATTTGTTGGTTTGATAAACGACTTGATATCAAGTTTGTTAAAATTTTGAAATTTCTGTCCTTTATAAACTGTAGTATCAAGAAAGTTGACAGCAGATGGAGAAATTTCAAATGTAAATCTTAGATGCTTGTGACAGTGATTGCTGATATTAAAAAATTCTTCTATCTCTGGTTGCGTTCCATTGAATATTATGAAACCGTCATCACGGTATTTGCCGTGAAAGACAATTTTGCTGGCATGACGAAATTGTGCCATTATATGCTTTGTGATTTGATACATTCTGATGTCACAGATCTCTGGACTGGGGACTGCCCCCATACTTGCTCCTATTATTTGTTTGTAATATTTTCCATCGAATTCAAAGTAATTGTTTTCCAAGACGCATTTCAGTAAGAAGTTTAGATCCTCAGGGTCCGGATATGGAATGTCTAATTGCGTTTTATTGGCCTATGTGTAAGCCTCATTTACTGATGAGAGAAATTCGTTGAATTCCATGTTTGTGTACATGCTCGTCACATCATAAGTAATTAATAATGCGTTTGTTAGCAATGTGAGGCCTTCGATTTTGGTGATAAAGTCCGTAGTGTCTTTGATATAAGTTGATTGTTTTTGTACAATGGGTACAAGAAAGTAATCGCAATATTGTCCTATTTTCCTCGTTGGCGTATCGCATTGCGAGATAATTGGTCTACCAGGTGGTAATTTCCTAATGCTGCACTGATCGTTTATTAGAGCATTGTAAATGTTTGCTGGTATTTTGTGGGTTTTCGGTAAAAGGTACAAATGCCCACATTTGAGTGAAGGTTTTTTGTCATTAAGAAATTTGTAAGTTTCTTTGTCCAGTGACCCATTTGAATGCATTGCGGCAAATTTATTTTGAATGTTTTCATGCAGTTTGAGCATGTTGGGTTCAGATACTTGCATATAGTGTTTAGATTGCAGTTGGCTTTGTGCTTCTAAGACATACTGGTCTTTGTTCATGATGACAATTGTGTTGCTTTTATCTGCTTTTTTAGTAACAATGTCGTTGTTATTCTTAAGAGATAAAATAGCTTCTCTTTCAGCATTTGAGATGTTTGATCTCTTTTTTGCAATTTCCAAAGAGGAAAGTTCCAATTTTGTTTTATCTATATATTCCTCGAGTTCGCTGCATGTAAATGGCAGTTTGTAGCCAGATTTTGTGTTAAAGGGGTGAATGGCATTGTCGTCTCCGGTATGAAAGTGGAATTTGCATCTGAATTTCCTGGCAAATTCTTCAAAATCTTTGAGCAGCAGGCTTTTAGCATTGTCGCTTTTAGGCGTTGGAATAAATTTTAAGCCTTTGCTTAGAACTGAGAGTTCATTTTGGGATAAGTTGTATCTTGATAGAATTAGAACAAACTTTCCCCCTGTGGCCGTAGTTTCCTTGCAGTGAGCTTTAACTCCCCGTAAATAATTACGAGTGCGTTTAGCATTTTTGCATTGTTTACTCCGTCTATTTATTCGTCGAGCCATTCAAATAGAGGAGCAGTAGGTGGTAAATATATTGTATATAGCGAGGCGCTATAGATCAACAATGAGTATTTCGATGAGATAATGAATCCGTCTAATTATCAATAAGTGTTGATAGATTAGAGGATAAGAAGAGTATGTGGCTATAAGAAACCGATAGTCAGATTCCGATGATTCGTTATGGCCACGTGCAAGGGGCGGTGTTTGTTTAAGAGCTGGTTCAATGGGTGGCTAATGCACACCAATTTTATAGTAATTAAATCCTGTGGATCTTAAGCCGTCTGATATACATAGTGTCATAAAA